CAGAGCGGCCTCCAGCCACGTTTCCGGACGGGTCCGCTTGGATCCGCTGGATCCGCTGGATCCGGTGACGAATCCCAAACCCGCGCCCTCGCCTGAGACATCCTCACAAAACCGGCCCCGGGGGGGATGCCCAGAGGAGCCCAGAGCGGCCTCCGGCACCGTTTCCGGACGAATCCGCTGGATCCGCTGGATCCGCTGGATCCGGTGACGAATCCCAAACCGGCGCCCTCGCCTGAGACATCCTCACAAAACGGGCCCCGGGGGGGATGCCCAGAGGAGCCCAGAGCGGCCTCCGGCACCGTTTTGGACGGACATGGATCCGCTGGATCCGCTGGATCCGGTGACGAATCCCAAACCGGCGCCCTCGCCTGAGACATCCTCACAAAACGGGCCCCAGGGGGGATGCCCAGAGGAGCCCAGAGCGGCCTCCGGCACCGTTTCCGGACGGATCCGCTGGATCCGCTGGATCCGGTGACGAATCCCAAACCGGCGCCCTCGCCTGAGACATCCTCACAAAACGGGCCCCGGGGGGGATGCCCAGAGGAGCCCAGAGCGGCCTCCGGCACCGTTTCCGGACGGATCCGCTGGATCCGCTGGATCCGGTGACGAATCCCAAACCGGCGCCCTCGCCTGAGACATCCTCACAAAACGGGCCCCGGGGGGGATGCCCAGAGGAGCCCAGAGCGGCCTCTGGCACCGTTTCCGGACGGATCCGCTGGATCCGCTGGATCCGGTGACGAATCCCAAACCGGCGCCCTCGCCTGAGACATCCTCACAAAACGGGCCCCGGGGGGGATGCCCAGAGGAGCCCAGAGCGGCCTCCGGCACCGTTTCCGGACGGACGACCTGACTGCATAACACGCCTGGATATGCCGACGGGGGCGAAGGAGGAGGAGGAGGAGGAGGAGGAGGAGGAGGAGGAGGAGGAGGAGGAGGAGGAGGAGGAGGGGGAGGGGGCAGGCGAGGGAGCCCCGGCCCTGGGGGAGGGGCCCTGAGGGAGCCCTGATGGGCTTCCGGCACCATGGAGAGGTCCTGTGGGGCGGCCGCCCCTTCTTCTCTCGGTCGTTTCCCTCTCGCCCAGAAGCGCGCGCCCCTTCTTCTATATATACAGAAACTCCCGATCAACCGCAGAGCGGCGGATGTTACTGACACTTTAACCTCACGCGATACTGCTTGGACACTCTGCAGAACTTGGCGGCCTGCTTGGCATAACCATCAGCCCGAGTGCGGGCGGAAACGACGCCCGCACGTACATCAGATCTGTCGGAGTGCGCTTTGGCCTTACGAGGGCTGAGCTGCTCGAGGCCTCCTCTGCCCTCGGTAGCATGCCACACGAGCTTCCAGATGTCGGCCCAGGCGGCCCTGGACGAGCAACAGAAGAGACGGCCCCTCTCCCAGACGCCCTGGAATACAACATTGGAGTCAGTACAAAAGGTCGCCCCAGGCATGGCCTGCTTGAGGCCCATCAGCAGGGCCCAACACTCACACACATCGATATCGAAGTGACCTGCTGGGAGCCCCCCTGCAACCACCGCTCGCTTCGCTCGCTCACTAGGAAGGGTCGGATCATCGTGCAGCGCGACGATGGCCCAGCCGAGCTAGCGTGTGGTGGGCGGAAGCTCGGAGTCGAACACACTCCCGTCAAGAAAGCAGTTTCTTCCGAACTCCTCAGGGGTCCCGACAAGCCACAGCTCCTCATGAGAAGGGGGGCGAGGAGGGGGAGGAGCAGGCAGCGGCACGAGCAACCTCTCAAGCAGGCGACGAACGAGGGGATTACCTGCTGCCTGAAGCATGGCCTGAGCGCACGCTGGCGGCTCCTGCTCCAACCCATGGAGCTCTTGGTGTTCCGCACAGCTGAGGTGCCTGTGCAGAAGGGTCCCTGAGGCAGCGTGGCACACACGACAGACCTGCTCCTGCGACAAACCGTGCTGGAACTGCCTGTCCTGCGGCCGCTGGCCTCCCGCAACAACACTGATACCACGCGCACGCTCATGCTCTTTTAACTTGGACATGCCAGACTCAATAGGCGCAAGAGAAGGGCCTTGTTGGAACCCGGAGGTGATCAGTCACTTTACACCAGAGCCAATTTCCAACTATGGTGTCCAGGGCTTTCTTGACGGTCCGCGGGCACAACTGTTCAACCGAGAACGCGCCCACGCTGGAATGCTGCCGCGTGAGGCCGTCCATACGAATACCGAGACGGAGCGCCGTGGCCACGGCAGCAGGGAACGGGCCGCGGGCGCATTGCCAAGGTGAGCCGTGCTCCTGGAGTTTTTGCCATGCTCCTGCGAGACCTTGCTCGACCACACCCCTCGGCACCCACCCGTCCCAGAGAGAGGAGGCGATGGCGAGGAGAGGAACGGCGTTAAGATCGTACGCAGGATCTAAACGCGCGACTCCAGAGAACTGCAGCATGAGAGTGATGGGTCTGCTGAAACCGAGCTTCCTTGAGCTCGCGTCCGTTGGTGCCCATCACCCCCGACCCATCGGAGGTGGAGGTCTGATGTGATGCACCTGAGACTTGCGCAACTTCCCCACCAGTCTGAACATTTTTTTGTGACGCACCATAGCAACAACACGCCTGTCCTTCCTAGTGCGACGCTTGGCCACACCGCCTGCTGCGTAATCTATGCCAAGGTTGCGCTCTGACTGTATACCGATTGCTCTCTTAGTACGGAGCGCAGCAGCGGCCAACTGCACGTGAGCACCCGAGACTTGGGCTTGCTGGCTGGAAGAGGAATGGCACCGAGCTCATCAGGCATCATGCGCGTGGCCTGACACAACATATCACGCACCTGCTCGGGGGAACCAACCTTGTGCCACCCCGCCTCGTCAACGACCAGCCCAATCTGCACCACGAGCGGCGCGAAGAGGAAACGCAGCCTGGACCGTGTCCAGCGGAGCAAGCAACACTATCTGCAGCATGACGATGGCGAAATGCCCTCTCAGCACGGCTTTCTCGATGAGAATGGGGGCCGACGTGGCCCCAGCATGGTCCAGGAGCCGCGGAGCCCTGTGAAGGCCCACTAAGAGATGCAACTGCCTGAGAGGAATTCCCGTGGACCGAGCCGCTTCAAGCAGCTCTCCGTGTCTGACGTTCTCGAAAACTTTGTGCAATTCTAAAAGCACGGTGCCCGCAAAAAGGTCACGCCCCTGAGCCCACTCGACGAAGGCAGCTTGAACCCAGACGAGCCGATCCGAGCCCCTCCCACGAGTGGACCACCAGAACTCGCGAAAGTTGTCTTGCTGCCAACGCCGAATGAGGGGGCGACGCAGACGACCTTGCACTCTAGAGGTGATGTGCATGAGGGCTATTGGTCGCAGCCCCCCCGTGCGCTTCACAATGAAGACTACCTTGGACCACAACTGTGGCCAAACAAAACTGCTCTCGATTGTGAGGATGAGCTGCCTGAAACACTCGAGACAAGTATCAGGGAGCTCGAGTAATTGCCTCGGGGAGATCTGATCATACCCCGCTCCACTGCCGACCTTAAAACTGCAAAGACAGGCCTTGAGCTCATCGAGATCAAAGCTGGGTAACTGAGGTCCAATGTCCTCTGGCCACTGCAGGTCATCCCGCAGCCTCCCCACCTCCCGGTACGCCCCCCATTCCGCCACCAAGAGATCCATCTCCTGCTCCTGACTAGTAGGGGCAGGCGGCGACGAGCCGTCGTCCCGAACGTGCGGACTGCTATGCCAGGGGATGGGAGGCTTGGACAAATGAAACAGAGCACCTCCTCCAGCCTTGCTGTGAGACTTGACCCAGCTTTTCCAACTGGAGTCCCTCTGATGCTCGGCCGCGCGCTGATGTTTCGCCGAGAGCTGTCTGGCGTGGGTGGCGAGGACCACCGAAAGCTCCCAGGAAAGCGACGGAGCGGCCCAAAGAAGCAACACCCGGGGACGCGCGCTGGCCTCGGTGAACTTATCACCCTGATCAGCGAGCGTCCTGATTGAAACTGCCTAGCTCACTAAAGGCCTGCGTGACCAACCTCCATCTAGTGGCGAACGGGGAGAGACGGGGATACGGCAAGGCAGACGGCTTGCGCGCAGGCGCACGCCGACGAGACAAAGCACGGGCCCTGCCCTGGCAGAGATGCGCCTCGTCACTGGGAACCTGGTAGATGTCGACGAACTCGAGCTCCATATCATTCACGAAGCTCTCCCTCCTCCTCCTCCGCCTCCTCCTCCTCCTCCTCCGCCTCCTCCTCGTCCTCCTCCTCCTCCTCCTCCTCCTCCTCCTCCTCCTCCTCCTCCTCCCCCATCTCCCCCCCCCCGCCCCGCCCGAGGACCTGCCCCACTGGGCGGCGAGGCTCCGGGCCTGCAGGGGCCGGCTGGAGCAGGCGCGGAGGAGGAGGAGAAGGAGGAGGAGGAGGAAGAGGAGGAGGAGGGAGGAGGAGGAGGAGGAGGATGAGGAGGAGGCGGAGGCGGAGGAGGAGGGAGGAGGAGGGAGGCGGAGGAGGAGGAGAAGGAGGAGGAAGAGAAGGAGGAGGAGGAGGAGGAGGAGGAGGAGGAGGAGGAGGAGGAGGAGGAGGAGGAGGAGGAGGAGGAGGAGGAGATGGAGGAGGAGGAGGATCAGGAGGAGGAGGAGGAGGAGGAGGAGGAGGAGGAGGAGGAGGAGGAGAAGGAATAGTAGTAGTAGGAGGAGGAGGAGGAGGAGGAGGAGGAGGGTCCTGGATGTGAGGGGCAACGCAGTCTGGTGGTCCGCTCTCTGGCTGCCAGGGCCGTGCTCGGGCCGTGTCAAGGAACTGTTCAGGGCTCGGGATGAATGGGGAAGCTCAGGAGAACTTGACCCGATGCCCTCGCGTCGTGGGAGGAGGCGACGGGAGGGTTTTCCCCGACATCTCAGGTCCATTGTCCCTTGTGATCTCTCGGCCCAGGAGAACCAAGCCACTTACACCCAGCCTCTCCTTGAGCATCGCACACTCACGCTTTCTCTATTTGGTTCTGTCTGTTTCTGTCTCTGTCTCTGTCTCTCTCTTTCTCTCTCGTCTCCCTCTCCTCCTCTCTCTCCCATGTTTTTTTTTTGCTGTTGCCGGTTTTGCGGTGTTCTCTCTCTCTCTCTCTCCTCTCTCTCTCTCGTTGTTTTGGAATTGGCGCGCGCGTTTGTGTGTCTGTGTGTGTGTGTGTGTCTGTGTGTGTGTGTGCTCGTGTGTGTGTGTGTTGGTTGGCTTGCTTTCTCTCAGTCCCCCCCGTGCCACTGGAGCAGGCCGCTGCTCCGTTCTCCAGCGTGCCGCTGGGGGAGAAGCTGGCTGCGACCGCTGCGGAGCTGGAGGACGTGGAGGCGGGCATCCTGGGCCTGAACGGCGCCCCGCTCCGCGAGGAGCTGGCGGAGCTGAAGCGCGGCTTCTCGGCCACCCTGGAGGAGAACCTCCAGCGGGAGGAGGCCCTGCGGCGGGAGAACGCGCAGCTCCGCAGCATGCTGAAGGCCGTGGGCCGCCCCGCGGGGGAGCCCGCCGCGCCCGCGGGCGAGCCCGCAGCGCCGCCGGCGCTGGCGGCCGCCGCCCCCGCGGCGGCGGTTGCCGGCGGACCAGAGGCCGCCGAGGCCTTCGCGGCCGCGGCGGCGGCTTCGCCAGCGGGGCCCGCCGCGGCAGCCGTGCTCCGCCGGCTGCCGCGACGCCCGCGGCCGCGGGCTCGGGCCCAGCGGCGCGGTGCACGCCCGCCGCGGCCGGCGGGGTTCCCGCCGAGGCGGGCGCGGCGGCGGCGGGCGCGGCGGCGTCGGCCTGAGCTGGGCATGGGCGTGGGAGGAGGAGGCTGGTGGCCATGGGAGGAGAGGGAGAGGGATGATGATGGTGATGATGATGGTGATGATGATGATGATGGTGGTGGTGGTGGTGGTGATGCTGATGATAATGCTGATGATGATGATGATGAGGATGATGATGATGCTGATTCTGATGCTGATGATGATGAGGATGCTGATGATGATGCTGCTGCTGATGATGCTGCTGATGATGCTTATAATGATGCTGATGCTTCTGATGATGTCAATGATGATGCTGATGCTGATGTTGATGATGATGCTGGTGAGGATGATGAGGACGGGGATGAGGATGAGGACGATGCTGATGATGATGAGGATGATGAGGATGCTGATGATTTTGATGATTATGATGCCGATGCTGTTTGTTATTATGATGTTGATGATGCTGCTGATGATGCTGATGCTGATGCTGATGATGATGGTGACGGTGCTGACGCTAATTTGATGATGATGATGCTGATGATGATGATGCTGGTGATGATGATGATGATGATGATGATGATGATGATGATGATGATGATGATGATGATGAGGATGATGATGATGCTGATGCTGATGCTGATGCTGATGCTGATGATGATGATGATGATGATGATGGTGATGATGATGCTGATGATGATGATGCTGATGAGGAGGAGGAGGCGGAGGAGGAGGAGGAGGAGGAGGACGAGAAGCAGGATGAGGATGAGGAGGAGGAGAAGCAGACGGAGGAGGAGGACGAGGAGGAGGAGGAGGAGGAGGAGGAGGAGGAGGACGAGGAGGACGAGGAGGACGAGGGGGAAAAGATGGAGGATGAGGAGGAGGAGGAGGAGGAGGAGGAGGAGGAGGAGGACGGGGAGGACGGGGAGGACGAGGAGAAGGAGGAGGAAAAGGAGGAGGAGGAGGATGGGGATGATGATGATGATGATGATGATGATGATGATTATGATGATGATGCTGATGATGCTGATGATGCTGATGATGCTGATGATGATGATGCTGATGATGATGATGATGGTGGTGGTGGCGGTGATGCTGATGATGATGTTGCTGCTGCTGCTGATGATGATGATGATGATGCTGATGATGATGATGCTGATGGTGATGGTGATGATGATGATGCTGATGATGATGATGATGATGATGCTGATGATGATGATGCTGATGCTGATGATGATGAGGATGCTGCAGATGATGATGATGCTGATTATGATGATGATGCTGCTGCTGCTGATGACGATGATGATGATGCTGATGATGATGCTGGTGATGATGGTGATGATGATGATGATGATGATGCTGATGATGATGATGCTGATGCTGCTGATGATGATGATGCTGATGATGATGATGCTGATGATGATGATGCTGATGATGATGATGACGATGATGATGTTGATGATGCTGCTGCTGCTGATGATGATGATGATGATGATGCGGATGATGATGAGGATGAGGCGAGCGATGCGGATGCTGTGATGATGATGATGTTGATGTTGATATGATGATGATGATTGATGCTGCTATTACTGATGATGATGATGATGATGCTGATGATGATGATGATGCTGATGCTGATGCTGAGATGGTTGATGAGTGATGTGATGATGATATGATGCATGATGCTGATGTTGATGATGATGATGATTGATGATGATGATGATGAGACGATGATGATGATGATGATGTGATGATTGATGATGATGATGATGCTGATGATGATGATGATGATGATGATGATGATGGTGGTGGTGGTGGTTGTGGTGGGTGGTGGTGATGATTGATGTGATGATGATGATGACGAGGAGGAGGAGGAGGAGGATGATGGAGGAGGAAGAGGCGGAGGAGGACGGATGAATGATGATGATGAGGAGGAGGAGTGAGGAGAGGAGTGAGGAAGGAGGAGGAGGATGAGTG